TGCGTCATAATTGCGTCAATTGCGTCAACTATAAAAAAAACCATTTGACTCAATTACTAAATTCTTGATTTTTAATTGCGTCTGACTCAATTCAATAATTTTCACCACATGTATAGTATAGTATATGGTATATGATATATGATGTACGGAGTTACTGCTAGTTTGAAGTGTTTAAAAAAAAAAAAACAAAATATAGTATAAAAAAAAGAAAAAACAAATGAAATATGAAATATGAAACAGATTTTTTTTTTAAATAATCCAATCGAAAAATAGAAAGAATCAATTGGATCACGTGTTTGTGTTATTGCTGATCTTTTGATGAGGGTAAACTGGTTTTGGTTTTTTGATTCCAATGTAGATCTGTTTACATGACAAATATTGTCTATAGTATAAAATTGGTTTTGATCTTTGTTTTTCTTCTAAACACAATATTGAGAAAGTCTTGGTACCCCTCTGGTTTTGTGTTAGTGGCGAGGTTGCTTGGTTTATTGGATGTGATCTAACTAATACAAGGCCCTACTGGTGTCTAAAGAGGTATCTAATCTGATATATGACTGGCTGATAGCTTGTAAGATGTGGTGTTAACTTTTTCCTTTCTTTTACTATGAATTATATTTCTTGTTTTTTTTTTTCCCAGTAAGAAAAAACAAGTATGTATCTATTTATATTGAAATAAAAACAAAGAGTTAGTATTTTTTTAAGTTCAATAATATCTGTTGTATATCTTCTTCTTGATTTCTAAATAGAAACAGTGGAGTGTTTTTTCTTGGTAAGGAGTTTCTTTAGATATTTTCTTGATGTTTCTAAGGTGTTTTTGTGTTTTTTCAAAAAAGAAAATTTTTTGAAAATTTGTGATTTTTTGGAAAAGAGTTTTTTTTTTATTGAAAAAAATAATATTATTATTAATTTAAATAAAAAAAAAATAATAATATTGAAATATCAATTATTAATATTAGTATTATATTAGAAAATTTAAAAATTATATATTTTACTTTAATAACCGTAGTGATGAACTGCGGGCGATGATTCTTACCTTCAAATTCCAAAAGTGAATAGAAGGTCAAGATAGCAATTCTTTTCATCTCCAAAGTCATACCTAGAGACATAGTCTAAGACGGGTATTCAAGGCAGTAGATAGTTTATGCAATACAATGTATTATACATTATTTGTTTTCTGTAAAGATTTAATAAACTTACGCACTTGTTTGACTACGGAAAAAAAAAAAAAAAAAAAAATATATTTTACTTTAATAAACAAATGCAAAAAATCAAATAAGACTAGTAACAATATTCTTAAAAAATTTATTTAAGAAAAAAAATAATTTAATGTAATAAGCTTATATAAATAAGTATTTTAAATTTTTAATTATTAATAATATAAAAGATTTATGGATCTATAGCACAGTGGTTAGTATTCTACAGGTCAGATCACAAAATATTGGTTCAATCCCATATAAAGGTAATTGAATAGAATTAATATGGTATTTGGCACCATGACCAATTATTTACTATTTTCTATAAGAAGCCATTTCATATGCTGATCCAGCGGGCATTAGGATTGTAATCTTTCCATTAAGGAGTAGTGGTGTGATAATCATTTAGAAGAAATTACAATGACTGTCTATGAAAGGTGCCATAGAACCACCTATACATTTGGATATACAGATTAAATTGTACTTTATCTTAACTAATTCCAAACCACCATTTTCTCTACTGTTGACTGTCAAATAAGGATACTTTGAAGAAAACACTAAATAATACTGAAGTTTTGTATGATATAACATACTGTACAGTTTATACTTGTAGAAGTTATGTTCTGCTTGACATTTATGCTTCTAGATTTGACAGTCAATACTAACTGGTTCCAAACTGGAGTGTTTACTAGGAGATAAAGGACTTTGGAAGCTTGTAACCATCCATGGCCTGTATGGTCCTTAGAAGTCACACCCCACCTGGTCACAAAAGTCTCTAGATTTGGCAGCTAGTGTTAACCAACAGATCAAAACCAGAGTATTTACTAGGAAGTACAAGTATTATATTGTCAAGACTTTCTCTGCCATAGGATGAAGATGCAAAGAGATATGATATGACAAATAACTTAGGAGATAGTCAGCAGTATCAACTGCTCTCATATAAAAATTGGACTAATAGATTGAATGGTTTAAAACTAGTGGTAAGATTTCTGTTCCCTAGATAGGTTCTCTTCAAAAATATGAACCCACTTCAAGAGTGTTATTAGTATTACTGAGACATTAAAAGTAGGATAGGCTAGTATTAAGCTATAGTCTAGTATTACAGAAGATGTTTGATGTAATTGTGATATCATATATATCAATAAACAATTGGCATCTAATGCTTATTCTACTATAAAAAAAAATAAAAAAAAAATTATTAATAATATAATAATATAATATAATAATTAGTAATAAATAATAATAACTCAGACCTGTGGGTCCATAGTACAGTGGTTAGTACTCTACAGGTCAGATCACAAGATACTGGTTCAATCCCATGTGAAGGCAATTGAATAGATTGATATGATATCTGGCACCATAGCCAATCATGTGCTGTTTCTCATAAGAAGCCATTTCACATGCTGATCCAGCGGGCGTTGAGATTGTGATCTTCCTGTTAAGGTGAAGTGGTGTGATGATCATCCAGCTGGTATTACGATGGTTATCAAATGAAAGGTGTCATCATATATTTGGATGTATAGACTGGGTTGTACTCTATCTTATCTAACCCTTATCAGTTACTAACCACAACCACTCATTTGGATATACAGACTGGGCTGTGTTTCATCTTAACCAATCCCAATCCACTACTTCTTTTTCCTCTCCCCTGCTGATTAACAAATAAGGAAGCTTTGAAGAAAGTACCTAAACGATGCCGAAGTTTGTGGGTATGAATCAGGAGAAATACTACAACCGTCACTACTTGTAGGAGTTGCATCCTGCTTGGCATTTATGCCCCTAGATTTGGTAGCCAATGCCAACCGGTTCCAAACTGGAATGTCTACTAGGAGATAAAGGGCTACGGTCCTTAGGAGTCGTGTCTCACTTGGCCACAAGAGTCCCTAGATTTGGCAGCTAGAGCCAACCAGCAGACCAAAAGCCGAAGCATTTACTAGAGAGTGCAAGTATATGGTGTCGGGACTTCCCTTGCTACAGGATAAAGGTGCGAAGAGGTGTGATGTGATAAATAATCTTAGGAAATAATTGGCAATAGTGACTGCCCTCACAAATTGAACCGGTAGGTTAGATGATTTAAACTAGTGGTAGAACTTTCACTCCCTAGTTAAGTCCCCTCCAAAAATATGAATCCATTTCATGAGTGTTACTAGTATCACTGGGGTAATAAGTAGATAGGCTAGCATTTAGCTGTTGTAATAGCAATAGACAATGTTTGATATATATAATTGATAATTATCTCAATAAAATCCCTGCATCTAATGCTATTCTACTATAAAAAAAAAAATAATAATAATAATAATAATAACTTAATAAAAAATATTTTTTTCTAAATATATCTTCACATTCTTAAGGTTAATTTTAAAAAGAATGCATTTATAAAGATTTTTCTATTATTAAAATTTTCTTACCTTTTTATTTTTTATTATAATTTAATAAAAAACAATAGAAATATTATAAAACTCTAATATTTAATATTTAAAATTTAAATAGCATATAAATTTTTATAAATATTTAATAAAATGATATTTGATTAAACAGTCAATATTAATTTTATTAATTTTAAGGTATGCCATAGTTGATAAATTTTTAGTAGTCATTTAAAAACTGTTACGCAGGGATATAATCACACGCGTTTTACGTAATATCAAAAAACATGAGTAAGAACCTAATTACCGAAATAGGGTTTTAGAACTAACGTTTGTTTTTTGATTTTCTGTGAGATTTTTTCCCGCCAGCCTGTTTCATCTTCTTCGCTTCCTGTGCTACAATATCGGCTGCAGTTTCCGTGGACTTACGTTTATTCGCAGATTCCGTGTTTTTAATACTGACTACTGTTGAGGTATTTTTTTTTCCTGAAGTTACAGCGGAAATTTGTGATTCGGCTTCCTCCCAAACTTGTGATGATCCAGTTATAGCATATCTACGAAACCAATAGGTAAACTTAAGATTTGCTTTATTACCCAACAAAACGATATACTATCGATTTAGAAATAAAAGATAATCACTTTGAAAGATCTAAAGAATTAATTAATTCTCTCTGTTTTTCCCTCATTTGTTTCATAATATTGTCACCAGCCTCTTCTAAATCGTCCTCGAGAGTTTTAGGTACAGGGTCCCATGACGCTTCTGCATCCTCTTCCTCGCCCCGGTCATCTTGCAATGTCGAGTTGGGTGTGACATCTCCATCCATCAACTTAATAGCTTTCTTTTTCTTTATGACAGCTGTTTCTTCCGGAATTTCCTGCATTGCAGCTGTCTCCAAGGAACGAAAATATGTAGATATTTTTCTAACTATCTTTATAAATAATGCCAGGATTTGTGTTGAAGGAAGCGATAGTTCTTTCTAAAAGTGAATTCACGATTAAGATTAATATCAAGAAAGATGTCTATGTGAAAAAAGATTGTGAAAAAACATCCAAATATTTACTTCTAAATCGTCAATATCTTTTCTCTGTAAACCTATACCTAGTAATATCGAACTTTGAACGCCAGAAAGTTTAACATCCCCATCAAATTTCTTTCCGAAATACAGATTAGCTATTAATGGAATCAAATCCAGAATAACATGATAATCTAACATGTTATTAGCGTATGATTCAAGTCGTTTGAGATCATAGGTCGAAAATTGTGTGTAAAGTGTATTTTTTTCAAACACTTAAGTAAAAAAATAATTAGATTCAAGATGATGAACAGTATTTTAAAGTGATAGTGAATGCAATAAGAAAATACCTTTTTTTATATCCTTTTTGTTCCGATTTCCAGCATCTGCGGCCTCCATTATGCTTAATGCTGAAATGCTAGGAAAATCTCGAAATTTATATGATAATAAATTTAAAAATCTTTTATGAAAATCTTTCGAAAATGCTGTCAACCATTCTGGATCACATGTAGTTTCTAGATCATCACACTTTAACGCCTTTAACATGACGCATGTATGTTCTCCGGTCAAGTCATTAGGCGTTTGCCGCAGGTAAAGTGGAACAAATCCCGAATTCTTCCAAAATTTGTGCAGGGATGGAGTGAGACCGTAAGAAACGCCTAAATAATGTAATCGAACTGGGCGTTTTTCGGAAAGTTTTAAGAGAAGAGGTGGCATCTTGCGTGGATC